TTTTTTTTGATGACACCGCCTCTCAAAGTTTCAGACGCGCGCAGGGATACGAGCAATTTAAATTTAATGCCCTTTTTTACATCCACCCTGCGCCACGCGCAACCCCTCGCCACATCCCCTCTCCCTTTCACTCGCTCCCTTCATCTCCATATTCGTATCCGTCCGCCATTCTCTCGTCCTCTCACGACGGCGTCCCTCCTCGCGCGATCTTTATCTCCACAGATTGCCCGACTTCCAAGGGAGCAACCACTCTTTTCGGGTCTAAGTTTGAAAAGAGGAGACGACCGCTCTCCCGGTGGCCAGAGAGATCGATCTAGATATCGCTGTGTCAACTCGTTCCGACAAACAACTCGAAATTTGTATTTTTCTTCCTTTCTTTCTTTCTTTCTTTCTCTTTTTTTTTTCCACCACGTGTGGATCACGAGAGTATAGGGACAGGGATGGAGTCGTGAGGGGTAGGTGAGATCTCAGAACGGTCGAGATCGACCCTGAGAGAGGCCTGAGGCCGATTCTACGAACCGTAGATAATATTGTTTCGGGTCTATGGGAGGCTGCGTTACGTAGGGTCATTGCATAATGAAAAGGCCTTTCTCCAACCAAGATTTCTTTTTTTTGTCTATCTAGATATTTTCGTGTCGCGAAGAGATAGCGAGAGACAGTTTAGTTTTTCCAATTTTTCGAACAAATTGTATATTTGTCGATGTTATTTGAGTAGACTTGAGAGGAAACGATGTTTATCGCGAGACTAATTTTAACTTCCTTTTCGTGAAGTAGTTTCATTAACGTTATCTAAAAGTGATTTGAAAAAAAAAGAAAAAGAAAAGGAAAAAACGGAATCTCTTTGTAAAAACTCTTACGAAACTTACATTGTTTGACGATATTTTTTTAAGATAAGAATCGTCTCGTCAACGAGGATAATCCCGGAATCGGTTAAATAGTCGAAGGTAGTCGGAGATTTCGAGGAAACACGTATCAGGAAAATTGACCAAGACAGGAAAGAAATGTTCGTAGAACGTTCAACAACGGCGAACAATTCGGTCCGACGTGACAAGTTTCGAGGAAGAAAAATTCAGCTCGAAACGAGATTGTTTATTCAAACGCGTCCCCTTGCCGTAGAAGAAGAAAACGGTGGAAACTGGTGGAAATTCTCCTTTTCTCGAAATTCACGTTTCACTCGTACGCACGATTAATAAATAACACGAATGGAAAGGTTGGAATATACCGTACACATATTCGTATTATAGAGAAGAAAAACGATCGTGCGAGAAATAGTCGCGGGAACTGCCTCTATTTCCCCTGATTGCGAATAACTCTGTGAAATTGCCTGTTGACACGTGTCCAAGGAGTCGCGATAATCCGCGTTTTTATTAAAATAACTCACACACATTGCAATAATTAATCAACCAGATCAAAAATTTTCTCGCATAGAAGGAAAACAGGATGCTGCGCGAGAGAAGATTTTGCCGCGCGACGACAAAATTAAAAATTTTCTACGTATGCTGATCGATCGTTATGATGATGGCGGAGGAAATATTAACAAAATATATATATATACTCTCCGAGCATTTTCGAAAAATTGGTACGTAGCAGAGAGTGTTCCCATTAAAATTCAAACCATTTTCTCGATAATCGAATTTCGCATTTTCACAAAATAGTTGCAGCGCATTTTGTAAAGATAAAAAAAAAATAAAAAAACAACAACAACGAAATGCGCGAAACGTCAATGCGTGGAACGATAAAATGGAAAGTGACGAAAAATCATAGAACAAATTCGAGGCGTGAAAATTACTCGTGTCGCGATTCCGCGAGAGTCCACGCGTAATTTCAGTAATCGGTATCGAGCTGAATACCGTAAAAAAAAAAAAAAAAAAGAAATTACTAATATATTCAACTACGCGGTAACGTTCAATTTACGATATAGAGAAATATAATTTAACCGTTCAACGAGCCGTTTATTTCGATAAAATTTTTCTTCGTCGTACGCATTAATCTCTCGGGAAAGAAGTTTACATATATTTATAGAGATTATCTTTTCTATTCGATAAATGACGCGCTATAAAAGCGTTTAAATTCTAAAGATTAGTTGGCTTAAAATTAATCGGAAAAAAAAATACGAACGAGGCCAAAATAAGAAAAACTGACGACATGAAAAATAACAATTTTCTAGATTTTCTTATATGTGTATATATATATATATCTCGTGAGATTGCTCCGAAACAGAACGAAAATTCCGCGATGAATTATTCACGAAGATATCTCGACCACGAAAACACCGGTCAACTACTTTTTTTTTTTTTTTTTTTTTTTACCTCTATCTCTATTCTCTCTTCTCGAGACGTGAAATTAAAAAACCGGACCAGGAATAGAACGCGTGAAGAAGTTTTGAAATTTTCGAGAATTCAAGCTTCTACTTGTAACTGTAGAAACACTCGAGGCGAGGAATATTGGAATCCGTACGGGGTTGCGCGAGAGACATCACTGTCTCATGCATGCGTATTCCATTTGCATCTTGTGAGTCTTATTAACGTACGTTCCAAACGCAATACCGTCGTGTCACGTTCCTTTATTAAATTTCGATGTTGCACTTTCGTTTTCCTTCGTTTTCTCTTCTTTTCAATCTTCCGTGAATTATTTAGAAAAATTTATCCAAGATTCATGCTAATGGGAGACGCTGATTAATATCTTAATGGAAGAAAGCGAGAATCGTAGACAAAGTATTTCGAGAAAAGCACTTTCGCCTTTTTTCTCAAATTTTCCAACGATTTATTATTAAAAGGAAATCAGGATAGGAAGCTACTCTGAAAAATTGAAAGAGTAAAATAATTTTTTTCTCGTTTTAATAACTATCGAGATAACTACTTTCAAAATTGAAACTTTGAGCGACTCACAATGGGATATTTTTAAGGAAAAACTGTTAATAGTGACGAAACCTTCTTTTATTATCGCCTTCTTTTCGACCGAATTTTTATCGGGAAAAAAAACAATGTAGGAAGTTTGAGTGCGGGGCCCGTATTTAGAGAATCATGTTTCGAATTCGTTCGTTTCGAAAGTTGATAAGAAAGACGGGCGAATGCTCGTTTCTATCGTTGTGTATCGCGGCCCGTGAAGATAATACTCGGATACGTCAATGAGTTAGAAAGTGGTTAGTAACGAGTGCTCGTTAAAAATCACGGGAAGCGATGAGGAGGAAGTGCGCCGATGAAACGTCAAGCGTGTCGCATGCAGCTAATAGAAATTTCTGTCTATTGTAACAGCGTTTCCGATCGCTTTTCTATTATATCTACGAATCATTATGCCAACCGAATGTTTAAGTGATATACTTTTCGCATATGCAAAATCAGTTTATAGTTCTTTTTTTAAAAAATCTTCTATGGCGCTTTCTAAACTGCTCTCGATGGTAGTTTAGAAAGAAGATGATCGTGACGAAAGTGGAAAGTGGAAGATGGAAAGTTGAAAATGTAACGTTCATCAAGATCGATATTTTCTCGTAGATTATATCTTATTTTGATTATATTAGCGATAAGCCAATTATGAATCAAATTTCATAAATCACAAAGTGGTTGAACCACGATTGTGATGAAAAATCTTAGAATCTACGAATACGTAATGGGTCGATACATAATATGCACGATTCAAGCCTCTAGAAATGTCGTTCGCTGACATATAAAAACGATTGCACAAGAATCCTCCTCAACCGTGCAAAAATGAATTCTAACGGTATACGCGAGTTACCGCGAGAACCGATGTAAATTTAATGTTGATATCTTCGTAAGAAGTTAGATGAGATAAGGAAAACCTGGATAAAACCCAAATGAAGTATACGAAAAGATCATTATAGTCATAAGTATACGAAAATTTTCATTTCGCGCAATATCACTGTCTTGAACGAATCTTTGAATATATTTAAATTATTTATCTAAAGAAATTTGATAAAAAGAATGGAATTTTTTGATCTAATTATACGTTTCATTAACTTTATTAATAGCATATTTATATATATATAGTTTGAAGAAGAAAGAACGAAAAGAGAACGAAGAATATTTTTATCTATATTTGTATAAAGAACTGTTAGAAAAAAAGGTCGATCCCTATCTATTCACGTGATACAGTTGTAACATATTTAACTGTTATCAATAATTTAGATATAACATGTGTTAAATATATGAATATCGGTTCCATAAAATCGATGATTAGTTACGTCATCAATTTAAAAATTTATGTACACTAGCGATAATAAAGTAAAGTCTTTTATATTTTAATAAAAAATTATTAACTTTGAAACAAAACATTTGATAAAAAAATATATATATGTAAAAAAAAAAAAAGAAAATAAGGCAATAAATCTATCGCGTATTTTTTTTTTTTTTTTTT